CTCATACACACACCTTTTCTTTTAAGCATCACTGAGTTTCATAACATTAAGAAAAGTGAGGTAAGAGCCAAAGTATAAGCTTCAAGGCAAAAGGTAATTATGCAGCAGTTATAATGTCAGTAAATTGGTTTATAAATAATCTGCATCTCATCAAAAGCATAATAAATGTGACAGTGAATGTTTATTGTCCTGAGAAATGATGCACAGATTAACTCTGTTTTAAATAGAGTTTATGCACATACTTGCAGGTTGAAATGAAGGGGCTTTTATCCTGGAACATAATGGGCTATAGAGTTTAGCTATTGATATATTTGCATACTTGGACACTTTGATATGTAATATCAACTTGAATTAGTGAAATTGAAATTAAATTATTCGGACACCCTAAAAGGCAAAATAAATAGATAAAAAAAAAAAAAAATAAAAAAACAAGAATAGATGTAGATATTTAAAAAAAAAAAAAGATCCTCTTACAAACTGTGAAATGGGGCATGCAATGGTTTGGCAGGGTTCTTTTCTCGTCACCATCATTCATTATGAATTCTACATTGATGCTGCCTAAAAAAAAATCATTGAACTATAGAAAGAAAAATCAAACAAAAACAAAACTATGGCATAAGCAGAATATCACACTGTCACATGAATAAAGAACCAAAAAAAATACTAGTAAATCCTCTAAGAAATAACAGAAAAACAAGTGCTGGATCAATTCAAAACCCAGATTTGGATCTTTTTCAGAACTGTTGGGTAATTTATACAGGCTGTACATAGATCAGACATCTTACTGTTGAAACAGAGGAGGGGGAGAAATGTGTTTGAGACTGACATTGATGTATGTTAGATAATTAAGCATAGAATATACCAGATCAGGTTTAACAATTAAACCTTTTCACGATGATACCCAAAAGATATTAAAATGCCATCCAACTTGATTGGAAAGCTTTAGATCAGATGTGAACTGATCAGCTTTGATGGAACAAAGTAGAAAAAGAATAAACATAGATATGAGGTTGGGGAAATGATTAACAGGAACTTTTATAATATAGCATGTCTTTTGAGGGAATTTGACGCCTCATAGGATGTTCTGCCCACAGTGGTGAGCTATATTGCTTATCATGTGTGTTTTCTAAGGTGTTAAATATGCAGTTAAAACACAATCCAGGAGCAAATAATGTATTTTAAAAGAACATGGAATTTTCTTAATGTCTTATATGATTTTTTGTTAGAGTGAGGTGCAGTTTTAAACACTGTATATTCTGTATAAAAGACTCATAGAAAACTGTCCTCAAGAAACATTAGGAGACTTTTCACATGGTAAGCTTGCTCCTAGGTATAGAAAAACAAGAGTGTAATCATTTTTGCAATAGCAGTACAATTAAAACAAAATAAGAAACAAAAAAAACAAGCTTCAGCTTTTTGAATTTCAAATTTTTCTCCCCAAAACTTTCCTATGCTCCTCTTTATGCATGGGGTCATGACATATTTGAGATTTCGTCCATTCTTTTTTTGACACTTTCCGTGTTTTGTTTTTTGTTTCTTTTTTTGTAAAGATTTTTTTCCGGCCAAAGATCTGTCTGAGTTAGACAATTACTTCTTTTTTTAGCTATTTCCTGACTTTTAAAGTTCACCACACATCAGCGCTATCTGAATGCCAGCATCTTTCTTACTTTGAAAAGTAACTGCAAGAAAATGGGCCAAAGTGTCCTATCAAATGCCTCCTCCAAGAAAACACAAAGTAATGGATCACTATTCGAGTGTTAAAAAAGAAAAAGTACAAAGAAACATCCTTTCGGTCATGTTGTAAAGTTCCTAAACAGGTATATATATGAATATTAATTGCATTTCGCACTTTGGAATATTTATTGTTATGAAATATAAGTTGTTCTCTTCAGACCTGGAAGAGAGACACTTGTCTTCACCCTGACTTCACCTCATATAGGATATAACATAGGGCCTTTACTCTGGGAGTTTAGATTAAATAGACTCTAACCCAAAACATAGCAAAGCAAAACATGATTTGGAAAACTGAATGTACCTAATTATGAAAAATATTAAAAAGATAATAAAAACATAATACACCCCAAACTGGATCACAAAGTAAAATACTATGTGAAAAAAAGACACCGGTTTTTAATTAACCCAACTAGCTGCCTGAACCCTGAGCTTGCTTCTAGAAATGCATGCACTCACCCTCATGTTAGAATCAATGCAAGCAGAGTCAATATTAGGCAGAAGGGACAAAACTTGCATTTACCAGATGACAGCAAAAAGGAGTGGCGGATGATCATGAGCATAAAACACATTATGGCTCTTTATTCATAGTGTAAAAACTTGGGCAATGAGGCACAGATGAAATTGGAGGTGGTAATAAAAGTTAAGATTTTATTCCAAAACTTTTCTAAAAGCAGTAAAAGTCCTAACAGGAGATCTTTCTTGCAGAAAATTAAACAATTTAAAGAATTTGCAAATGCTTAGAGAGAAGCATTTGCTTTACCATATATGCTGTAATACTTCACCTGAAATACAGCAATCATGCCATTTATTTAGTGTCCTAAAACTGAACTTTTTTTTTTAATCAATATCGAAGGACATATTTTTTGATACATGTTACAGAAACACATTTTTTCTCATTTTTCTTTAGCTTTAGAATTCATTCTAAATCTACTTTTAATAGATTTTGTGTAATTGTAATTTGTAATGTAGCTTAGTTTGTCGGTTCCACATAAAAAAAAGCTTAGAAAGCTATGTTTAGAGTTGTGAAAACTTTGGCTGGCCTAATTGTTCATTTCATTCACCTGTTTAACTCTGCCCTGTTTCTCATCACCGCTCATCTGATCCTCCTGCTTCTATTTAAACACCTTGGTCCCAGCCATCAGTGCCAGATTTTTCTTGAGCCTTTGGTGTGAGAGTTTTCTAGCTTTCCTAATAGTGTTCTGATTTCCTGATCCTGACCCATTTCTGTATTCGGACCTTTGAGCTTGCCTGTCCCTGTTGAACCTGGATCTGCCTCTTGACTTTATCCTCTGGATTTTCCTGCCTTTCTTTGTCTGTTGAGATCTGATCTCCTGTCAGTTCTGCATCCTTCAAGGCTTCGGCATCTGGAACTCTGTGCGACAACCGCTGTATCCTGTCAGCTGACCAGCTGGTATCCACCCCATTCTCTAGGCACTGACTGAACTATATTAGCAGAGTTACCTGCCTCAGATGCCCCAGTTGCTGATGCCGCAGATCTACTAATCGTCGTGTTTTAATAAACGCTTTTTGAAGTTATCCCATTGTCTGTCTGGCCTGAATACTGGAATTCCCTGAGCCAAATGTTTTGGATACCCATTTCAAAGTGTAGTTCATTTCAAATAAAAAAATTAATATATTCTAAATGGAAGAAAAATACTGATGTAACTCAAAACTGTTCAACCTTTTCTGCAAAGAGTCATTGTAGATTAGGGGTCACCAATCTTTTTTAAGGCTAAGGGCTGCTTCATGGGTACAGAGTCATAGGAAGGGAGCTCATAGTTAACTGGAAACTTTATGCATAAAAAAGTAGTTTTTCAATTTTTTATTTCAAGTTTTCTTTTAGATATAGCCATTTTTAAATCTCTGTAAATGCTTGAATGCTCTCTGATTAAATGATTTAAAAATAAGAGCAACAGAATAAATAACATTTTACACTTAGCCCACTTGTGAGTCATTCTGTTTACAGAAGATGGTGAGGGGACCCCATGTGGATGTTGAAGGCCCCTTGGTGTCCCTGGGCACCGCATTGGTGACCCCTGTTGTAGATGTTTGACAGGTATGGTAAGCAATCTTCTGTAGTACTTGGAGTTAGAATCCTTAAGTATGAAAACACTTTGTTTCATTTAGGTTTTTTTCTCAACCTTAGCTGCCTGGAACCATCTTATCTACCTAAGCTGTGTTTGTGTGTGCTTCCATTATGTGATCTGAAACCCAATGTTTGGGGACAGATCTCTAACTATCCAAAATGCAATGAAAAAAAAAAGTGAGATCAGAAAGATGAGTCTCAGACTGTCACATGGTGGTTATAGACTAAGACCTATAGCTTGCTCTTCAAACTGTGAGAAAAAGTGTAATAGATGGGATCTTAAGTAATCTACCGTATGTCTTGAACAGAAGGTAAAAAATAGCAGTCTTATCTGGATTACAATTCTACCCTCCCAATACAACAGCTATTACAAATTCCAGTCATTAAATTCTGAAGCTGATACAAAACCGTATCTGCAGAGGATGTTTGTAAAAAATCATTCATCTTTAATACCAAAAGACGGTGAGATGATTAGTGTACAAATAGCAACAATACAAACAAACTAGGAGTTTGAGGTGCCTCCTGTTTAATTCAAACTCATAATAAGCAAATGATCAATAATCCTTGGCCTTTTTCAGTCTCAAGCTCTGAACATAAACACTGTGAAATACTCCAACTGTATCAGTTAAGCTTTATAACTGAGGCATTGATGAGAGCTTTACTTTCTATCTGTCTCAGAGGAGGGAGAAGCTAATGTGTCTATGATCCCCTAGATATCTCTATTAAAATTGATTTTATTAGCATATTTGAATGCAACACTCTGTCAAACACTTAGATTTCTTTTAGGGGTGATTGGGTTAACACATTCTATTTGTAAGCAAAGATACACAGCTCCAAATAACTTACTCTCAATGAGTGATATAATGTGTAAAGAAATATCAATTTCGAAATATTTTTTGGATAGATGCTTACTTTCTTTTGTCTGATTTGGCCCTGGTTCCTTTCGTGCAAATGAGTGTGGGTCTATAGGTGTGTGGGTAAGTGTACTGTTGACATATGTGGTTATGTATGAATGGTGAATAAATAAGCATATATTGTAAACAACCCACAAGGTGGAATTTTTTGACACAATTTTTGTATTAA